CCTGGCCACTCCCCAGAATTATCCAGGTAATTTGTTAAAAACTCCCACTCCTGCCGAAACTGGTTTGGCTCAGTGGATAGAGCATTGGTCTGCAGACTGAAAGGTCCCAGGTTCGATTACGGTCAAGGGCATGTACATTGGTTGCGGGCACATCCCCGTAGGGGGTGTGCAGGAGGCAGCTGGTCGATGTTTCTCTCTCATCGACATTTCTAGCTCTCTATCTCTCTCCCTTCCTCTCTGTGGAAAATAAATAAAATATACTAAAAAAAATTTTTTTTTAAAAAACTCCCACTCCTGCCAAAGATTTAGTGGATAAGGGGAGAGACCTATTAAAGTTCTTTTCCATAAATTTTGTTCAAAAGAGCTCTCTTCCTTTCTTCCATTTGGAACACAAGTCTATAAAGGACTGGCTGGAACCCTTGAATTTTGCCCGATATTGGTTTTCAAGAAATATTTGTTTCGCTGCATTGCAGATACAACTTGAGATCCTACACATTTCTAAAAACTATTTTCAGTAGTTCAATTATGTAATTACAGTAGGAAGAAAATCACAGTTGTAGATGGTGTAACTTTTTTTTTATAGCAGCTTTACTAAAATACTATTCACATGCCATAAATTTACCTCTTTAAATTGTGGTTTTTAGTATATTCTAAAAATGTTGTGCAACTATCACCGCTATCTAATTTTAGGACATTTTCATCTCTCCAAAAGAAACCTCACTCAGAAACCTTCCCTTCAGTCCTGGCAATCAGTAATCAACTTTGCCTCTCTGGATTTGCCTATGCTGGACATTTCATACAAATAGAATCATATAATATGTAGCCGTTTGTGGCTGGCTTCACACACTTAGCATAACGTTTTCAAGATTTACCCATGTTGTAAGATATATATATATAATTTCATTCTTATTACCAAATAATATTCCACTGTATAGATATAACACATTGTTTATCCATTCATCAGTTGATGGGCATTTGAGTTTCCAGTTGGGGGCTCGTAATAATAATGCTGCTATGAAAATCAGCATACAAGTTTCTCCTGCATATTAGAATTGCTGTGTTAATGGTAACGCTATGTTTAACTTTTTGAGGAATTGTGGCTCTACCACTTTACATCCTACCAACAGCCTGTGAGAGCTCCCGCCTCACCAACACCCTTTTTATTCTAGCCTCACCAGGACTGTGAAGTGCTGTCACTGTGGCTTTGATGTGTATTTCCCTAATGACTACTGAGCGTCTCTTCGTGTAGTTTTGACATTTGTGCATCTTCTTTGCACAACTGTCTATTCAAATATTTTGCAATTTTAAAATCAGATTGAGTCACAGGAGTTCTTTATTCTAGATACAAGTCCCTTATCAGATATGTTATCTACAAATATTTTCTCCCATTCTGTGTTGTCTTTTCTCTAAGTAATTTTTAAAACAGAACAGTTCTGTTTCGGTAAAATATAATTTACCCCTTTTCCTTTGGTTGTATGTGCTTTTAATCTAAGAAACCACTGCCTAACCCATGGTCACAAAGATATATTGTTTTCTTCTAAGAATTTTCTAGTTTTACTCTGACATTAAGGTCTCAGATTCATTTTGAGTTAATTTTTGTATGTGATGTGAGGCAGTGGCTGTATAGCTTTGTTTGTTCATTTCTCTCAGGACGGAGGGCAGGCCCGTGGCTCAGGCTCAGGGCTGTGGGACAGCCTAGTAGCATTTGCCGAGTTAGATTAGGCCACAGAGCTAGGTGAGCCTCTGGCCACACACAGCCCTGTGTCCTATACATGAAGCCTGTAAGAGCAATGGAGATGGGACAGTTAGATCTGTGCACTGGCTGCAGTGTCAGGAATGGGGCGAGAGCGAAGACCTGTTAGAAGTTACTGAACTGATTTGGAGATGATGGCTAATTAGTGAGCAGGAACTGAAAAGGTGGGAGAGAATATTCAAGGACAAAAAATGGACAGAAGACCAGATGACATAAAGAATACAACCTCTGGTCAAAACGAAGTATGAATAAAGTCACTGGTTTTATTGAGCAGCTCAAACTAGTTCTGAAGGTTAACTGTTAAGAGTTCCATACAGTTTTTGAGCAATGTACAGCCACCATGGGCTTTCATATTGCTAAAAGTCAGGTTCACTAAAAGCATTCGCCTTTCATATACTTATTTGCAAGTAATAAAACAATATAGGCTTTTCAGTACTTCAGCCCAGGTTTCTGCACAAATAAGTCTAAATGTGTGATGTTTGCTTATTTACTGATTCTGGGCTATATAAATGGGAGGTCTCAATATGCCAGAAAGTTTGTCCATAGCTTAAAATAAGAAAAAGATTTCTTATCCTCCTGAAATAGAAATTTTATATTTCCATAGTCAAAATAATGAACAAATGTTAAAGGATTAAAAAAAATAGTTGAGAATTTTGATGAAATTCATTTATTTCAGAATAAAAACAATCAGCAGCATGAAAATGTAAAGTGCTACATAAAAGCCCCACAATACATAAAATCGGAAAGATTTCATTTGCTTAAACAGTTACAGATGAAACAGACATTATATATCTCTTCAAGCATGCTAATTTGAACTACCTTAGTATGTAGCCATGTGCTATGTTGGCCAAAGAAAAAGTCACTGAGTTACATAAATCTGAAGACTGGCGAAAGAATGAGTCCTAAGCCTTTACCTGCCAGATCGTATGTTTGATTTTGTCTTTATGCTGTAAATAAAGGGTTAAAGTGGGGCTTTAAAAATAACAGTTTGCTGAAGAGGTCTATCAGGTGAAGTGTCAATAAAAATGGCCCCAAAGATCAATTTTGCTCACGAACTCCACAATGGAGGTCAGACTGACAACTTAAGGATTTTTAAGTAACATAGTTAAGCTGAAAGGAAGGAGCATAAAAGATGCCACTTTAAATATGTGTTATTAGTGTTAAAAATAAATCCTAACACAAAGAAGGTGGTCTGTCATTTGACACGATGGAAGAGAAGCTAATTGGACAGAAAAGGATCTGCACAATGTAAAATTTCTTGGCTTAGTTAATTTGAAAGTATAGGTACATCCTATATCCCATGGAAACATGCAATAAGATCACAAAGCTTCAGAGGCTGGCTCAAAATGACTGAGAGGAAACGGAGGGAAGACTGTTTTTAGCATAAGATTCATCTCCACATAATTTTAGTTAGTGCAGGGATTTCCTTCTCTAGTGATAGCATTACCTGGCCTTCCAGGGTCAGTGACCTCATGTTAGGAGACCGCTGATGACGGAACCAATATTTCTAATATCTTATGTTCTAAACCAAGACTTCAGAAAGGCAATAAAGTTCTAAAATGGTAATTATAATTTCCTAACATATGAGGTCTTCATAAAGTTCTTGGACTTTTTAGACTTTACCACTTTCAGTTGTAGATATAACAGAAATAATCTGTAAACACTTTAAAAATGCTCGTTTATTAAAGTTTAATACAATTACATGTTATGTCATAGTATACAATATGCTCTTGTTTTAAATGCAGACCTAAAGGAAAAATGGCTATGAGACACAGATATTGTGTGACAGTTATAGAACCAAAGTCCCATAGCACAAGTAAAAATTAAATTTGCCTTTAAAATCATTTTACAAGTTGTTTCTATCGTGCCTATAATTTCAGTTAGTTAAAACCACATAAGGACTTTATGGATACCATCCCCCAAATTATTCAAGATACATTATGGACTTTTTTTGTGGACTGATCTAGAACCTAAACACATTTACAACATAGAATTGTAAAATAATAATAATAATAATAATAACTTATAAATGCATCTTTAGAGCATAACCTGTTTGAAAGCTGAGGACTGCCTGTATTTAAAAGTTAAATCTTCATTAATAATGCTCTCAAGAGTGCCTTCAATGCTGATACTGAACATGCTGAATGCAGTGTTTCTCTGTAATTATGTTTTCACCAGGGACTATGATGTTGCAAGTGTCTACTAGAGTCGTGGAGCTAACTAGCACTATGTTATATATTGATTTTGCGCTGAGAATTACTTCTTGGGCTTTGTGTAGGCATACAATTCCAAGTAAAGGTTTTTCTAATTTCTACCACTATTGCTTGGGCCCTGACCTTTTCTATTAGTATGGTACAAGAAATAGTACAACATTATGCATATTCCAGAATAATTAAATTTATAGTGATTACAAAGCTAGGCATATATACATCTCAAAAGATATACAATTCAAAGCAGATTAAACATTCAAATCTTAAGATACTCCCACTTAACTTCTAGAATAAAACTAAGTGATTTCCTGACTTGAACTCTCCCTCCTTTCCTTCCTTCCTTTCTTCCTTCCTTCCTTGCATCCATCCAAGATCTATGGAGGATTGTTTTCTTTCTTTTTTTAAACCCTATGTGCTCTTTGGAGAGAATGGGATAATACATATCAAAGTGGTTACAAAGCATTATTCCCTCTTCAAGTAAAATTCAGTAACCAAGATGTAATCTCATTTACTCATAAATGTTTGACTGATATAGTTACTTGCACTGACAATGTTTAGGACATAAAGTATATCACAGAATGGGTAATCCCAATGTTCCCATGAAGTAAGCTATTCGAGGGGGTTTTACTTGGCTTTTTTAACGCTTATCCCTCTTTCATTCTACATAAGTAGAAACAGAGTACTGAATAAATGATACTGAGTAAGGAACTTAAAACACCATCTTTTACCCAAAAATTTAAAGGGCTATACAGAAACTATCACAAATTTACATAAAAAGATGAAACATGAGAAATAACAAATTATTTTCCTGTAAAGCAGTTTATATAATGAGACAAGGAACTTCACTTCCAATCCCTTAAACTAAGCAGGACACTGTCTGAATGCGAGCTATATTATAACTGAATTTATAAGGATAAAAAAAAAAAGGAATGCAGGGTAAATACAAAATAATTTTTTGTAAACAATTCTTAGACTATACCCAATGAAGAATGTTTAATAAAGCAGTTGAGTCACAGCTCTTAAAACACAAAACAGTATTATAACTCAAAGTCAAATATGTACTCATTGGCTAGATATATTCGTCGGAATATAAGCGCTGCCAGTGCCAAAGTCAAAATGACAATCAGTACAGCAGACCCGCCATTATCCGTGTGGTTGTCTCGGAGCTGCTGGCCCTGGATGACATCTGGTGAACTGGACGACCTTCTTTGACTCTGCTGCTGGGCCCTGCGCTGGCGAGGACTCATGGAGGTGTTCTTAGCTACAGGCTGGGTAGGTTGTTGAAGGGATGCTCCTGAGGAGTTCTGGACTGCATACTAGAATGTTTTAAGAAAATTTATTTGAAATTGGCAAAAAAAATTTATACATTACCTATTATCTCTTTAAGAGTACAAAGAATCATAGAGCACTAAACACAATTGAGGGCTAAACTACCATGAATTATCTAATTTTTGAGACTATTACCCTTCTGAATATTCTAAGTACTCAACAAATGGAAGAGGAATTTACTAGAAAAAATAAGACAAGGAGAGAGTTTACCCATATTCTCCATAGACAGCTTTCTATACTCCCTCAGTTGTAACTCCAACAGAATTTGCTAGGCATCTGGGCACCACCCTTCTTCAGAAGAGTCAAGGAGAGAAGCAATTTGGTTTCCAATTTCTGCTTGAAAATTTGCCATTCTAAATGGCAAAAAAAGACAATTCTCAACAGTGTGCCTCTTTAAATATTATCTGACTATGTCAATATGCTTCCATCAATAATCATAGAACATGTAAAATAATTTTAAAACATATGTTCTTCACAGCAATATTGTTGTAAAAATTAGGTGTGGTTTTCCAGATGGATTTATCCTTTCTCACAATTCTTGTTAAATGAATTGAACACATGTCTAGAAGAACCCTTTACTGCATGCTTGAATTGTGTTACTTCATGTGATATCAAGAGTTCTTCATGTATGTGCTGAGAAAAATTTGGAGGTAGTTGTAGGAGATTCGATGTACCCTCTACTTTGGCATACTAGTTGCTCCTCATAAAGTACTGGATGTCAAATGTTTTCCGTCCTTTACTGACTGCTCCATCAAAGCATAACCACAATATGGTACCAACTGAGGCAAAAATCTTAATTATAGTTTATAGACAAGAAAGCTCTTTAATATGAATTCCATTTTATTTGTGTAGATACTTTAACTCTACCTGTAACAACAATTAAAGTAGCCTTTAGTTCTCTTACTGAAAACAAGTATATACTGATTATATTAGTGTCAATACACATTCTTCAAATAAAAAATGCATGTTTTATTCAGAATAACTTTAAAAACTGAGCAAATATAAAATACTAGAGGCCCAGTGCACGAAATTTGTGCATAGGGCGGGGGTATGTGTCCCTCAGCCCAACTTGCACCCTCTCCAATCTGGGACCCCTCAAGGGATGTTCAATTGCCCATTTAGGCCCGATCCTACTGGCCTAAATGAGCAGTCGGACTTCCCTCTCACAATCCAGGACTTCGGGCTCCCAACCACTCGCCTGCCTGCCTGCCTGCCTGATTGTCCCTAACTGCTTCTGCCTGCCAATCTGATCACCCCCTAACCACTCCCCTACCAGCCTGACCAACACCTAACTGTTCCCCTGCTGGCCCGATTGCCTCTAACTGCCTTCCCCTGCTGGCCTGATTGCCTACAACTGCCCTCTCCAACAGGCCATCTTGTGTCCAAATGGGGGTAACCATCTTGTATGTTGGAGTGACAGTCAATTTGCATATGACTCTTTTATTAGATAGGATACTTTCCATTAGAGAAACTTAATATTTAGAAGAAAAAAGAACCGAGTAATGTAATTCAAATATTTTCTAGAAAAGTACAAGGATGGGCTTTGTACTGGCAACAACTATAAACATTAGGGGGAAAAACTGCTCATCTCAGTTATTTGCAGAAGAAATTACATTTTAAATCTGACATTCATCTCAGCATTAAAAGGCTTAAATAATCTGTATTTCTTAAAACTATCCTTTGAAAGCACTCAAATGTAGTGACCCCATAACACAGCAGTCAAAAAGAACTAATGAGTGTGAGTTAAAAATATGTTAGTGCTAATAGTAAATTAAACTACATGAACTTGGACTCCAAGACTCCCAGGCATAATCTGCTCACTGAAGAAAGCAGATACACAAAGCTGCAGCATTTTATGAGGTCTTACATTGTCCTAGGTGTCATGTACTGACTTAATAATACTCACTGAGTTGAACTGAGTTACAGCAGCCAATAAAAATTCTATCTGAAATCTGCCATTCTTTCAATTGCTCAGCCAAGATAAAAGCATCTGATAGAGCAAAAGTACTAAAGGCTTATAAAGGAAGATGGGTTGTTAAGGAAAATAAAAAACATGAGGTCCTATCAATCCAGAAAGTACCATAAGAGACTAACTTAGCTTAAAGCTTTTATTTTATATACTAGTGGCCCAGTGCATGAAATGCATGCACATTAAATGGGAATTAAGAGAAAATATTTTAATATTGTTATTTATCCTTTCTCTATAATAGAAGTATCAGAGATGAAAGAAAATTAGTAAAATGTATATGAAAACCTCCCTCCTATCAGAGTCTGGGGCATGCAGTGGGACCTAGAGTAAAGTTCCCACCCACCACCCGCACACGCTTCGAAAATGCGAGAGACCCAGACCCAGGTGGCCCCATCCCTGTCAAGCCCCTTCAGGCGGGGGCATAGTCTCAGCCTCAGGTCCCCTGGTCCAGCACTGGGGCGGGGGTGTACCTGAGGTCCCCTGTCAAACCCGCTGGGCGGGGGGCACAGCCTGAGGTTCCCCAGCTGGCACTGGGTTGGGGGAGGCACAGCCTCAGGTACCTTGTCAAGCCCTTCTGGGTTAAGGGGGAGCATGGCCTGCGGTCCCCATCAAGGCCCGCTGGGGAAGGGGTGCAGCGTGAGGTCCCCCATCCAGCCCCGCCAGGCAAGGGGCACAGTCTGAGGTCTCTGGCCCCAGCCAGGTGCCATGCAGCCTCAGGTCCCTGCTGTTCAATCGTGACATTACGGTGTCCTGGCTAATTTGCATATTCCTCTATCATATTTTATATATATGTTATTATTTTCCATTAGTTTGAAGGGTAAACATTGTACCTGACTGAAATAGACATGGGCATTTACCTGCCCATGTACCTGACTAAAAGAGAAAGCCTTATTATTATTAGGATAGCTCTACCACTTTGTAAACATGTGACCCTAAATAAGTCATTTAATCTCAGCTCCCACATCTGTGCAATGAGGCTAATATCCAATTCAATAGTTGTGAAGATTAAACAGGATAATGATATAAAGTGCTTAGGATAAACAATTGCTTAGTAAATGCTAGTTATTAACATCATTACTATTAATATATCCCTTTGGAGATATCAGATTTAGGCTTAAAAAAAGTCAAGACTTAGAATAGCTGTTTGGACCTTTAAAGTATGATTAATATAGTTAGAACAACAATCCCTTAAAACATTAACTTTAGATGATATTTTAGTACATGTACTTAATGGAAATATTTATATAAATATACTATTTTAATTAGGTTCTATATTTTTCGTTACATTTTAGATAATAAATTACTAAAAGCAAGTGCTGCAGTATTATAAAATTATAAAACTTCTATTTAAAATACTCACATCAAGGAAAAATTGCAACCTGATGCTGAGAACCTAGTTTATTTAGAATTGAAGAACTAATTGGACTAAATTTTTAAAAAATGTATTTCTTTATTGATTTCAGAGAGGAAGGGAGAAGGAGAGAGAGATATAGAAACACCAATGATGAGAGAGAATCATTGATTGGCTGCATCCTGCACACCCTCTGCTGGAATCAAACCTGGGACCTTTCAGTCCACAGGCCTATCCACTTAGCCAACCTGACTAGGGTTGGACTAAATTTTTGAAGTTCATATTAAACTGGCAGATGGAGAATCAAGTGAGCTTTAGCATTTTCAAAATGCTTTAAGATTGATGGTAGGACTTCTAAATCCTTGCTGTTTGCCTAAACTTGTTCAAATTATATTACAGATTAAACACAAGTCATAGTAGTTTGCATTTTCTGAAGCAACCATTTCTGGAAAGGTGGACAAATGTGATTTTTTATTTAATTAAATTAAATTTAAGTATTGTATTTTTTTTAAAAGCACAGTCAGAGATAATTCACATAAATTTTTCTATAATAACCTGGAATAATCATCATATGAAGAGTTTTATGTTTGCTTTGTTAGTTGTGCCCTGATCTATTTTTAAGTTTGGAGAGGGGCGTTTAAATCATTAGAGAGACTAATTAAGAAAATATGTAATTGAATTGTTGCTAAATAATTAATTTTAATACAAAATGGAATGGTTTATTCAGAAACTCAATCTTTTGGAAAAGGGAAAAATTTGACAGACTGGAAAAACATAGAACTACCATCAGTATTTTTCCTATTTCTACATGGCTAAAAAATCTGCATGAACAAGTAACAGATGGTCTAATGCTAACTGCTATATTTAGACTTTCGGCAATCTCTCGCCCTCTCAAGGCTAAAAAACAGCTTATCTGGAATTTGATGTGTAACATCTCAGTGGATTATATTACACTTGCATGTAAAACAGCCACCTTAGCCAAAACCAGGTTTCAGTTACCTTCACAGTAATCAGATCATATAATCAGATTTGTATGTAAATGTAATTAAAAGCTTAACTCACAAATTGTAGACAATTTATTGCTTGTATTTTAACCAGAACTGGTATCTATGAAATAATTCTAAGTTTTATGTACTTTAAAATAAAAATGAAAAATACAATTGCAATTATAACATTATTTATGCTAATTTACTTAAACTTCTTGATTTATTTACCTGTATTCCTAGATTTCCAAAAGTACTAATACTAAAATTTGTTTATTTAATCAACAACTATATATTTACCACCTACTATATACAAGGCACTATGCCAGGCACTGTGGACACAATCCTAATCCTCAAGGAACTTATTCCAATTGTAATTTATTTTAAAAGTAATTATAGACAACAATTAATTATTTAGCAACAATTCAATTACATATTTTCTTAATTAGTCTCTCTAATGATTTAAACGCCCCTCTCCAAACTTAAAAATAGATCAGGGCACAACTAACAACAGCCATAGTATTCAATGTTTTGTTCAATAATTATTTACTGGACACTAACTATGCACAAGGCAGCACTGTCCAGTAGGAACTTTGTGCAATGATAATAATATTTGATACCTATGCTGCCCAATATGGTAGCCATTAGGAAGGAAGGCCCCAGTCGGTGGCCAATATGGAAGGCCCTGATCGGCACTAATCGCTGGCCAGGCGTAGGTACCCTACTCATGCATAAATTTCATGCACTGGGCCTCTAGTTCAAACATAAATTTAAATAGCTACATTGGCTGATAGCAACTACATTGGACAGAGTAGACCTAAGGCAAATGTTTTGCTCCAAAGACAGACAGCATATTTAGAAAGTGGTTAATGTATGTATATTGCTTTATTTTTACTGTAGCATTATATTAAAACTAACTTTTCAGAGCAATTATAGAATTCTAGATGAACAATAAAATTATTTAACAAAATAATTTAACTAAAAACGAAGGTCCAGAAAGTATGAATAACTTGCTCAAGAAAACAAAATTCATTAGAGAGAGAGAGCTAGGCTAGTATCCAACTGTTAGGAAAACCAAAATAATCAGATATTTCCTCTAGGAATCTCCTCTTCCTATTGCAAATAATGCTAATGATATAGATATATACATATACAAAAGAGAAGAACCATACCGATGTACTGGCAGTAGCTCCCTGGAATGTGGTAGGTATATTGTCCTCTAAATCATTTAGTGAAAAAGGGTGATTTAAGTCCGACTCAGCAATAGTCTTTCCAGATGAATTAACTTCTGCCTATAAAAAAGGTAACACCCAAGAGCGGTATTATAAAAGGGAATACACAAACTAACCCACAACCTATCTAAATTCTCTTTCTTAGATTTACTTTAATTGGTACTTTAATATCAATATCAATCAGTTAAGTGTTAAGCACTCATGTGTCCAACACTATGCTAGATATTACAGAAAAACCCACAGACATTCACTGTTCAAGATGTTATTTGGTGAGGAACAAAACTAACACCCATGGTTCACAATCCACAATTTCAAAAATCTCTAAAAACTGTGTTTTTCTTTTGTAATTTTCAGGCAAAGCCTGACATATGAGGCTATTAACAGTCTTTATTTTAAGTTGGTGTAGATATTCCCAGGTTTGCTGATGAAATAATGAATCTGATTATGGGGTACTGCCCCATGTTTCAATGAGTATTAATATATGGTATATGTTTAATATTTTCTAAAATCTGAAATTCTGAAGTAGAAAACACATCTGGCCCTAAGATTTTCAGAGAAGCAATTTTACATACAATAGGAATCTTCAGAAGAAAGAATCTAACCAACACTTATTAAGCACCTCCTCTTTCAGGCACAGTAAAATAGAAAGAAAAATTTCTCCCAAGAACTGGACCTTGGAAGGATAGACAGGATGTAGAGAGGTAGAGGAGAGGGACAAGGTAACATGTTGCTTAATGCAGGTTGACATTATTTTATGGAGCTATAGATGTATTTATTTGTTTGGGTAATATATATGTAAAAAAAAAAAAAGGTTATAAGGGAGATATGCCAAAATAATTAGCAGCACTTATTTCTTGGGGCTGGGATTATATGATTGTTATTTTCTAACTGCTTATCTATATTTTCTGTAATAATAGCTAACACTTATCAAGCACCAGGGACAGTTCTAAATGCAATACATTAAATATTAACTCACATAATCCTCATAAGAATCCTACAGGTTAATTACCATTCTGCTAATATTTGCAGGTGAGTAAAAGGCATGAAGTGGCTAAGTAATGTATCTCATGTCCTACTACTAATAAGCAGCAAAGCTGGGATTTGAACCCTGGCATTGTATACTAGAGTCCAAACTTTTAACCACTATGCTATATAATGCCTTTGTGAATGTATTAGTTTTGTGATAAAATTATTTATAAAAACATTATAGCACTAGAACTATATTACTTTATTTCTAAAAGTAAATAAAAGGGCTACAAAATTTAAATTTATTTATCAATTTAGAGTACCTTAAAACTGATTTGTCTAGCCAGTTCTTTGGCTTCTTGGTCAGCCATGCTTGAATCACTTCCAGATTTTAAAGGCAGCAGGACATCCTTCATGGTGTAGCCACATGCCTCACAACAGAAATCTTGTGATCTGGTAGGAAATAATTTTGATGAGTACAAATCAAATAGTGAACTTTAATTCAAGACATTTAAACAATGAGTGATTAAATTTACAAGAAAAGAACATTGTACAATTCCATATCACATTTATCTACATACAAAATAGACAATGATAGCAATAATTATTGTTATGAAACATATATGCAAAATTAGGTTGGTATAAAAATTTCATGTCAATTATATCTCAATATTTTAAAAGTCTAACATTAAACTCTGGTTTAGATTTCATTATTTTCCTAATATACTTTCTAAAGAAAACTAAGCTACAGATTTATATAACAAAAGATATAAACTTCTTACCTACCTGTCCTCAGCTTATGTTAAGCCTGTGAAAAAGTCCACTCATTATATAAAGCTCAAATTATTTTTAGGCCAAGACCAGTTTGCCTACAGATTGAGGGGTCCCAGGTTCGATTCCAGTCAAGGGCATGTACCTTGGTTGTAGGCACATCCCCAGTAGGAGGTATGCAGGAGGCAGCTGATGGATGTTTCTCTCTCATTGATATTTCTAGCTCTCTATCTCTCTCTCTTCCTCTCTGTAAAAAATCAATAAAATATATATTTTTAAAAAATTATTTTTAGCAGAAACATATATAAAGAAGCCAATTAAAATAGAATTTACAGCCCAGCCAGTGTAGCTCAGTAGTTGAGCACTGACCTATGAACTGTGAGTTCACTGTTCGATTCCCAGCTGGGGCTCAATCTCAGTAGGGAAGGTGCAGGAGGCAGCCGATCAATGATTGATTCTCTCTCATCATTGATGTTTATATCCCTTTCTCCCTTCCTCTCTGAAATCAATAAAAATACATATTTTTTAAAATTAGAATTTACAGGTATTTCCAGAGAAATAAAACCTCACAAATCCTATTACTCTTAATAGCAGAACAATTTGAAAAGCAAAAAACTTGTGGAAATCCAGACTGAAATTTTTCATTGATTATATTAGGTAAATAATCTGTTAATAAACTTTCCTAAGATTTCTTTTTCTATGTTTTAATTTCCTCCTCTTTATTCCAGATATAGTCAAAAAGTGCCTAAAACTCACAAGAGTGCTGAGAATTTATATGACCAGAAATAAGTATGTTATGTATATTATATAAAAATATGTATTATTACATTGCTGAACTTCCTTTTAAAAACTATTTTACTATAGCCTGGCTGGTGTGGCTCAATGGTTGAGTGTCGATCCAGGAACCAAGAGGTCACCATTGGGTTCCTGCTCAGGGTACATGCCAGGCATATGAACTAGATCCCCAGTAGGGGGCATGCAGAAGACAACCGATTGATGATATTTGTCTCTCATCGATGTTTCTATCTCTCTATTTCTCTCCCTCTCTCTAAAAATCAGTAAGAACATATTTTAAAAAACCTGTTTTACCGTACATCTAGATCAATGTAATAAAATGTTTATGTCTTTAAAAACATGGTACTTAAACTTACTAAACAGCTTCATGTAAATAAAATATGTCAAATGTATTTATTGATGAATATTTTTTTTGTTTCACTGGAAGCAGCACTGCTATCCATATCCTTTAGAGCAGCGGTTGCCAACCTTTCAGACCTCACAGGCCATCCCCTGCTTTAGAGAATCAGTTATATCCAAATATCTGCCTTAAAATGTGTCTACTTTTTTTATTTATATTTTTTTATTTATTTCAGATGGGAAAATAAAACGAGAAAGAAATACCAATGATGAAAATCACTCACTCATCAGCTGCCTCGTGCATGCCTTCTCTTAGAGATCAAACCTGAAACCCAGGCATGTGTCCTGACTGGGAATGGAAACATGAACTCCTGGTTTACAGGTTGATGCTCAACCACTGAGCCACATCAGCCAGGCAAAATGTGTCCACTTCTTAAAATATATATATTTTTAATTGATTTCAGATAGAAAGGAAGGGAGAGAGAGAGACATCAATGATGAGAGAGAATCATTGATCGGCTGCCTCCTGCACACCCCATACTGGGGATCAAGCCCACAACCTGGGCATGTGCCCTGATTGGGAATTGAACCATGACCTCCAGTTTCATAGGTCAATGGTCAATCACTGAGCCATCTCGGCTGGACAAAAACTGTGTCCACTTTTAACTGAGAAGTCAGATGAAAATTAAAGGAGAATAATTTAAATATATTAGTCTATCCACAAAAAATAGTAATTTACCATGGTTAAATGCAAAATCTGGTTTTTAAAAAAGCCTCTACTACAGACTAAGAACCTAGAATATATTCACTGATAAGTCTAGAGCAAAAGAAAAAAACACCCAACTCTTTTTTTTTTATCTGTACATGAAATGCACTAGATAAAAGTATCAAGACAGAAAGCCAATATAAAAAAATCAAATAAAACAAATGTCATGTATTCAAAGTACATACTATAATTTCTGAATAGTAGCTGCAAGTAAGGTATATGCCCAGAACTTGAGAATAGATTTAAAAAGAAACCAAGAAGTCTACCAAATCTTCCCAATACTAAAATCTCTTTAACAAACATGTGTAGAGGGTCTATTCTGAGCTGTACCAGGTAAGATATACTATAGGGGTAGGCAAAAGTAGGTTTATAGTTGTTCATATGAAAAATAATATAATTAATAAATAATAATACAAAAACTTCCACATCTTTACAACTATAAACCTACTTTTGCCAACCCCTGTATAATTTAATTCATAAAATACTTTTAAAGAATAGAAGGCAGCCAAGTCCAGAACAAGAAAATGATCAAGACTGGCCAGCATGGCTCAGTGGTTGAACCAGGAGGTTACAGTTCAATTCCCAGTCAGGGCACATTCCCGGGTTGTGGGCACGATCCCCAGCAGTGGGCATGCAGGAGGCAGCGATCAATGATTGATGTTTCTATATTTCCCTCTTCCTTCCTCTCTGAAATAAAAAAAATATATATTTAAAAAAAGAAAATGATCAAAATGTAAAATTAGTCTTAGCACTACTCAAAGAAGAGAATACTCTAAATCTAATAACTAATTTGGGTTATACAGACAGAATGTACCTGGGAAAAACAGAAAGCAATACCAATGGGAAACAACTTTTTTTTTTTTTTTTTTTTTTAAACGACAACGTAATAAAATTGACTGAGCCACTTGCTATGAGCCAGATACTATAGATACAAGCATGGATAAGTGGATTTCCTTCAGCTCTCAAGAAATTTTTAATCTTGTAAAAAGCTCCATAAAAATAATGGCTCTATTCTTTGCCATCTTTATTACTGTCTAAGTGGAGATGAATGACCTGTCCTATTTTATAGGAGAAGATATCTCCCACTGTAGATTAATTACTTTCTATAATCAATTCTTTAGAATCAGGTCAACACTGAGTAAACTAGTACAACTGAATTTCTAAAATAGCAAAACTAAGGCTAGAATCTGTAGCAAAGGTAACCCACAAAGTAAGAGGCAGAGCCTGTTTCCTAATAGCCATTTTCCAGAAAAATATTTGGGTCTTAACCAAGAATGAAATGCAAAACTTACTTTTTGGCAAGTGCTCTTCTTTCCTCAGGTGTGTAATCTAGAGAGCCTATGGCTCCTTCTCCTTTTGTTGGCATAAACCCAATGATGGCTAACAATGCTGTTCTTACTGAAATAAAAAGTAAACACCAATCTAAATCACTTTGTAAAAGGAACCAGATTTACTATGAAAAGAAAAAAAGATAGTCTTTCACTGAAGAGATACAGGTAGAAGGGTTATAATAAAATGATGGCCAAAATCTAGGCAAGGAAAAGCATTTTTATTATTTATTTAATAATAAAATTATTTGTCAAAAACAGCTTCAATCTCAAGAAGGTATTATACTTTACAATTAAGAATTGACTAAAGTTATATAAGATATATTCACTTTCAATTAGTACTCACTGCTCCATGAAGGCTGCCAAGTTTCAGGATGATGTCCTGAGATGCTCAAACAGATTTTCTTGCCTACTTCAAATCGTCCATTAGCCTTAGGAATAAATAAGGCATTTAAAAATTATAGATATGTTTTATACTCTGGTTTCTCTTCAGATCGCATAAATCTTTCGCCTTTTAAAAATTATAGATATGTTTAATGTTTTAGACTTTATCAGTATAAATATTTTTACATATAAATAAATTTTAAAGATAATTTTAAAATAATGTAATCTCTAAGGGGATACAGATTTTTGTCCTCTGATTGACACTCCACAAATATTTGTTGGATCCTAAGTGAATAATACAAACTGTTTTTAGAAGTTGTAACACTTTTTTGAAATTGAATTATACAACTGAAATCTAAATAAGTGGTAAGTTGTCCTGATGTCCTCCTATTTGCCTAGTATTCTAGGCTCTGTGAAGAATCTAAAATATAAGATGTACAGAGACTAGGATAAAACCTAAGGATTTGATATAATCTAACTAGCTATTGGTGAGGAAAGCTCTGAGGTGGGAGTGATTTTCAGAATGATGATTCATAAAATAGGAACACAAAGGAGGAAGATCAGAAATAATGATTTTAGCTTTGGACATTAATCTATTTTTTGGGGGGGGAGGGAGAGGAGGAGGAGGGAGAAGGAGAGGGAAGGGAAATGGGGGAGGAGGAGAAGGGGGAGGAGGGGGAGGAAGAGAAGGGGGAGGAGGAGGAGGAGGAGGAGGAGGAGGAGGGGGAGGAGGAGAAGAAGAGCTATTGATGTCCAGCAGGCAGGAGAATTATAGGCATGGTGCTATCAGAAGAGGATATACACCTTTGGTACCTGACTTTAGAGAGGTGATTATTAAAGCCATCTCATAGGAAGACAAAAGAAAGCAAAACAGTTAAAGTCTGAACTTGTAGAATATCAATTCTTAGGGAAAGGGGAAGGGAGAAGAGGCATGAATTAGAATATATGTTTCATATGGTCAGAGAATTTGACTTATTCTCTGTTGCAACCACAGAGTGAATGACATGTATTTAATGATTATTTGTTGAATGAAGGTTGGAAAAGAGAGGAATATTTTCAAAAGACAGTAAGTGAACCAGAAAAAGCAAATATTGAAAACCAGGAGGGCAGGACTGATTCTCAACCACTGTGCTAAATATGAACCATACCGTTGGTTAACTCTTAAAATATTTCAATATTTCTATACCTATTGGTGAAAAGCTGCTACTCCAACTACCCACCCCCACCAGTTTCCTCATGTACCAGCCATCGACCCCTTAGCTCTCTCCATGATCTAGCAAAAAAAAGTGACTGGGCCCCCTCCAAGACCCTGCTCCAGCCCTACTGCTAATATAACTGATTCTAAATATCACTAATATTTGTTAAGCAACTTCTATATATGAGGAACTTTATAAAGTGTGATTATATTTACCATACACAACCCTTTTGACAGATGAGAAAACTAAATTTCAAAGAGATTATGTAACCTGCCAGTGGTTTAATAGAAATAGCACTGGTCAGAATCCAGGTCTGCTGGCTCTAAACTAATGCTCTTTTCACTTCACCAAATAAAGGTAAAAAGCAGCATTAATTTGATATTTAGTAGTTAGTACATTTTTTTTTTTTTCACTATTTGCTACACCGTGTCAGGTTTAACTTAGATGGAATAGGATAAAGACTGAGAAGAGACAATGGGATTTCTCATACTGGTCTTTGAGATTAGTGCTGTGAGCATATATGGAAACCAGACTGCAATAAGCCAACCTAGAGTAAAGATGCCTTTTAGGCTATCAGAGAAAAAACAAAAACAGAATAACAACATAGAGTGGTGAGCAGAGATAAAGAAAGGTGTTTATGTTTTGTTTTTGTTTTGTTTTTTCAAGGTTGGGGTAAACAAACACACTTGTAAAAAAAAAAGGAATTAGAAAAGGAAAGCTTAACAAGAGAGGAATTGACTGATGAAACGTGTCTCAGGAAAAAGAAAAAAAAAATTACTCATTTTTCTTCATATGGAGATAAAATACGTGGATGTAGAAAGAAATCCTAAGATATAAGTAATAATATAGCAATAATTTATTGAGGACTCTGTCACTTCTATTTTAAGAGCTACACACGAAAAGAGGTTAAATAGAGATGATGTAATTAAGAGGTACAATAACATTAACAAACCTTTACTGAGTACTTACCATGTGCCAAACACTTTGCCTAACATTTTGCATACATTAATTCACTGAATTCTAAAAACCATACTATGGTAATTCTACATTCATTAGCATTAATAATTCCTATAACGCTGGCCCAATAGCTCAGTTGGTTACAGTATCATCCCAATATGCTAAGGTTAGTGTTCAATTCCCCATAAGGGCACATATAAGAATAAACTAATGAATGTATAAATAAGTGGAACAATATCTCTCTCTCCCCTTCTCTCAACAATAAATAAAAATAAAAATAAATAATTCTATAAGTTAAATTTTTTGGGGGAAATTATAATACCAAGGCCTGGTTCCCAAAAGCAGCCACTTTACTACTTCTTTTTCAAAATTAAAAAAAAAAAAAATTTTGAGGGAGAAAGAGAAACATTGATGTGAGAGCAAAACATTTATCAGCTGCCTCCTGCATGCCCCCTACCAGGGACAGAGCCCACACGCAGCCATGAGCCCTGACTGGGAATCGAACTGGTAAGCTTTCAGGGTACAGGACAACCACCAACCAACTGAGCCACACCGGCCAGAGTCTACTTTATTTCTTAATGTAGATGAGTATGTTGACCATACTTTGCAGCCACCATAAAGAGTAAAAACCACAAGCATTTCAAAAAGCCAAGAATTCTTACCGTTAGAAGAATAATGCTTGGTGGTTTCATGGGATACTCTGGTGGCAGTACTATTCGTCCATGATAAACTCCTCCATCAAAATCAGAATCTGGGGGCCCTCTAACTGTGAAGTGCCATTCAAAAAGATTATCCTGAACAAAAACAATAACCAACAAGACATCAGTAATGTTAAAGTTTGACCATTTTAATTAAATGACTATTAGAAAGATTACTGGGTGAGAAAAAGAAGTGTTTTATATTATTGCTAGAACAGTGCATTTCTTTTTTTTTTATTGAATTTTTTTTTTTTTCACAGAGAGGAAGAGAGAGGGATAGAGAGTCAGAAACATCGATGAGAGAGAATCATCGATCAGCTGCCTCTTGCACACCCCCCACCAGGGATGTGCCCGCAATCAAGGTACATGCACTTGACACCCTTGACCGGAATCAAACCCGGGACCTTTCAGTCCGCAGGCCGACGCTCTACCACTGAGCCAAGCCGGTCCCGGCAGAACAGTGCATTTCTAATGCACAAAATGTCTCAAGTTATAAAAGTTACAGTTTTCATGTGCCATAGAGCTAAATCTTTTTAAACAAATGCACTCTAAAATATTTGAGCATTGTTATGTATGCATAAATAAGGACATAGGTTTTATTAAGCTACAAATTAGTTCTTGAATACTAATTAATGATCAATACTAATTATATAATCAATCCTTGAATAACATGGATTTGAATTGCATGGGTCCACCTATACTCTATTTTTTTTTCAATAAATACATACAGTACTATAAATGTATCTTTTCTTCATTATGACTTTCTTAATAACATTTTCTTTTCTCTAACTTACTTTATTGTAAGAATAGTTTATAACATATATAAGATACAAAATATGTGTTAATTGACTATTAATGTTATCAGTAATGTTGCTGGTCAACTATATTAGTAGTTAAGTTTTGGGGGAGTTAAGTTATATACTGATTTGGGGCTCCAATCCCTGCATTGTTCAAGGGTCAACTGTATAACCAAATAATTAAAATTTGGATTTTACAATCTTTTACATTAACTCTTAAAGATACATAAGCACTTACTTAAAAGGTTAATAATATTAATACATGTGCTATCAACATTTTACAGTTACCATGTACTTTAGAGTTTGCAAACTATTTGTGCATACATTATATTTTATTCTCACTGTTTCCATGGAAGCCAGACTAAGCATATTAAAAAACCCTCTTTTTACAGATAAGAAGACGAAGAGAGTTAGAGATGTTTATACAAAAAGCTCACACTAGCTGCACAGATCCCTCAAGGAGCTAGGTCTTCAAAACTGTAAAAAGTATTGTTTTCTTTCCACTTTCCCTCCTCATATTCAAGACCTAAAACCAATTTAGCTTCTGAGACCCATTTTACAGAGGTCAGAAATCTGCTTCTTATAAAATGTCTGATTCTGATTGGCTAATAGGAAATTAGCCATTCAGGAAATACTGGCAGTAAAATATACTAATAAACCACATCAAACACATCTGTAATGACTCAAAGCAATGAAAAAACAATTTTAAGGAATTTGTTTAAAATATTAAAATCCATATGTAGAAGATGGAGACAGAAACTAACCTCCAAAGGTTGTGCATGATAATGATCTGTTGGATCTTTCAATTCTGCCGCTTCTTTCATTAAACGTTTAACAGCTAAAATAAAATTCATAAGATACAGACATTTAAAATATACTTTACCAAGTGATTTAATCAGATTTACAACCTAATGAAAAAGTTTCTACTTTAACAAAACATATAGAGAGAGGATTGGCTCAACTGAGTGTAAGATAAAGTTTTAATTATGGGATAATAGTAATCATTGGAGAAGGAGAGGAAATGGTAGGTAGGCATTAGGAGAGTTATGTATTAAATATATAGGTAAGTCCGATAAAGACACTTTTTATAAGTCCTTATATATACTTCCTATGTGGTAGCACTCAAACAATCCTCAAAACATTGCTATGAGGCAGAAAATCCCTATTTTCTAGACAAAGAAACTTGTCCAAGGTCACATAACTAGTAAGTGACAGAGCTGGAATTCCAACACAGACAGTAAACTCCACCATATTTAAATGTCTATATTAACAAAAAACATGCCCTCTGGAACTCATTCTCATGAACAGTAACTCCCCCCCATCCCCATTTTTTTCAACCTCTTGGGACTTTTCACCCAATATTTTGTATTAACTTAATGGGACTGTCTTCAGAGATCACTTTATTCCATAGCCCTAATTGATTTCCTTTTTGAAATGATTCTTCACTTCAATTAAAACCTATAATTAACATCTGAAAGAAAGACAATAGGAATTAGGCAGGTGGGTATGAATAGGCAGAGAAACAATAAAAGTAAAATGTGTGGAGGCACTGGATGAAAAGTTACCAGGAGAGATTAAGAATTAATTCCCACACAATATTATAATGTAATATGTATCATGTCTCTTGCATAAAATTTCATTTTAGCCTTGGCCTTTGTGGTTCATTTGGTTGGAGCATCATCCTGTGCACCAAAGGGTTGTGGGTTTGATTCCCAGTCAGGGCAGATACCCAGATTGTGGGTTCGATTCTTGATCAGGGTATATGTGGGAGGCAACTGATTGATGTTTCCCATATCAATGTTTCTCTCTCTCTCTCTCTCTCTCTCTCTCTCTCTCTCTCTCTCTCTCCCCCCCCCCCCCCTCCATTCCCCTCACCCCTCTCACCTTTCTTCTCCCTCTCTGAAAACAATAAAATCATGTCCTTAAGTGAGGATTAAAAAAAAACCAAAAAAACAAAAACACCAAAGTATGCCCTAACCGGTTTGGCTCAGTGAATAGAGAATTGGCCTGTAGACTGAAGGGTCTCAGATTCAATTCCGGTCAAGGGCGTGTACCTTGGTTGTGGACACATGGGGTGTGCAGGAGGCAACTGAATGGTGCTTCTCTCCTATCAATATTTCTCTCTATCCCTTTCCCTTCCTCTCTGTAAAAAAACAAACCAAAAAAACCCAATAAAATATATATTTTTAAAACATTCCAAAGTTCTTAAGTCACTATCTTATTCCATAATAATAATTACTTATTTTTTGTATTTATTTTTAGGATTTGCTTGTTAATCCTCACCCAGGAATATATATATATATATATATATATATATATATATATATATATATATATATATATTTTTTTTTTTTTTTTTTTTTTTTTTTTTAAGAGTGTGGAAGGGAGGGAAAGAGACATTCACATGCTCAGGTGGGCCTGGAGATCGTGCAACCAAGGGACGTGCCCTTGACAAGGAAATGATCCCGAGATCCTTCAGTCCAAAGGCTGATGCTCTAACCACTAAGCAACTAGCTAGGGCCTAAAATTATTAACATTCTTTTCCATCCCCTACTCTGAACTAGGCCCCTGTGGGAACTCCGCTCAGCCAGAAGCCAGGTTCGTGGCTGGCAAGCACAGCGGCGGTAGCAGGAGCCTTTCACGCCTCTGTGATAGAGGTAAGGATCCCTTGGCAGACATCCACCCGGAGAGGGTACAGGCCAGAAGCAACCTCCCTCCCTGGTGCACAAATGTTGTGCACCAGGCAAATTTTAACAAAAAGATAAAATCCTTTGTCCAAAGAAAAACTTAATGAGAATCTCAATACATAAAACAGATACCCTGGCCCGTAACCTCTTCCTCTTCCTGTTCAGTGGTTAGTAAGGGTAGGGAATGTCCAGTCCTTGAGCTGTATAAGGCCCAAGAAATCATTTGGTCTGACTCTGCCAAGGCATTATGGGTAAATTAAAATTTTGACCAAATATACCAGGCTAATTTATAAGATGATTAAATTTTAAATTAATTGTTTGACCAAATATACTAGGATAATTTTGCATGGCCCTTGAGTGATATTATAAATATCCAAATGGCCCTTGGCAGAAATAACATTCCCCACCCCTGGGTTAGAGTGTCAACCTGTGCATTGAAGGGTCCTAGGTTCAAATCTCAGTCAAGAGTTCCTTCTTGCCCCTGGTAGAAGACAACCAATCAATGTGTCTCTCTCATATTGATGTTTCTTTCCCCCCTCTCCCTTCCACTCTCTCTAAAAATCAATGGAAAAAATATGTTCGGGTGAGAATTAACAAAAAACAAAACAGGTAACTGAGCTGTTTTGGCTGAAGCCACCAACATGGAAGGAATTGCCAACTATTCTATCTAAGGGAACCATGGATCCAGGATTGAGAATCCCTAGTTTGGAGCACGTAAAATATCCTTATTTTAAATTAATATTATTATATATAAGTAAAATCATGGAAGCTATTGCAAAGTTAATTAGTTTGGCTGCTGTACACAATCAAAATGCCAAGGAGATTATTTTTTCTTCATTTCTTATCAGCTAGCTGAATAATGGTTAAGTTGACAAGGTCAGATTTTATGTCATTTCAGTTGGAGAGAAGATAATAAACATTCAATAGTACCTGGATATTATGAGAGATATATGAAAGGATCAGAAATGCTACAACAACGCATTTAAAGAAACAATCATTCACTTAATAACTAAACATGTCACTTAATAACTAAACATTATTTCATAGGTCACATAGGCATACCATGTGAGAGCTAAAGCCACACAGTCAAATATAAAGTGGCTATTTGACAAATAGAGGTTATTCTAGTGCTTTCATAATCAATTTTTTCCAAAATAGCATATATTATGAATATGCTTTCATGAAAAAGAGCATTGACTCTGGAATTAGAATTGGATTAAAATACTGGCTCTGATTCCTTAGGCCTAAATCGTTGGACAAATCAATCTTATTCTGCTTCAATGTTTACATCTGTCAAATGGGAGTCAACTATTTCTTCACATATTTCTTCTTTCCTTTTCACCCATCCCTTTCCCCAGATCACAAATTATTGAAGTCAGAAATAAATTGCAATAGAAGGTCCATTCAATTCTTTTTCAAAATCAGGACTTGAGCATATGTAGTTAGCCACAGAGCATGGCTACCTGGCTCCCAAGGAAAAATATCACTGCTATAGAATAGTCAAGATTCAAAGTCCTGATTGGCAACTAAGACTAAAGCATAGTCTACCACTCCTGATACTCCATCTCTTGCTACTACTTGTCTATGGAGAAAACTTTCCCCCCATCAGTTCCTTTCTTATCTCTTTGCAAGATTATTCAGTTCTCCTATCATGGTGAGATAAGATGTTCCAGAAAAGGGGAGAGGGCTGGGGAGCACCTGCTTGGCTGCTCTTGTTCTTTCTTTTCATGGAGGTCACTTGATCACTTTGGATTCAAGCTCTACCATAGGCCTAGGCATTTGCATTCTGCACATGCCCAGGCTAGCTCACTGGGTTTATTTTATGGTTTGGAGACAAAGCTCCAGCTAAGGGGATCTTTTACAGGTTACTGTCTCTCCTGCATCTATTTCTTTATGAAGCAAATATTCTGATATCATCATCTCCAAAACATGGGTAAAATGGAAAAGAGGCAGGTGTACTGAGGATTTAAACCCAATGCCCTGCTCCCCAACCACCTTTTCCTGTTCCCATATGAAGGCACATAAGCAAATATTTAAGGACTAATGTTTCTGTCCAGAAAAACCCTGTAAATATCCATTCAATAAACATTTAAAGAATATCTGAGCAATGGAAATAGAATGACCAGGACTTGCTTCTTGCCTTCAAAAAATTCACAGTGAGCCGAAACCGGTTTGGCTCGGTGGTAGAGCATCGGTCTGCGGACTGAAAGGTCCCAGGTTCGATTCCGGTCAAGGGCATGTACCTTGGTTGCGGGCACATCCCCGGTAGGGGGTGTGCAAGAGGCAGCTGGTCGATGTTACTCTCTCATCGACGTTTCTAGCTCTCTATCTCTCTCCCTTCCTCTCTGTAAAAAATCAATAAAATATATTAAAAAAAAAAAAAAAGTTCACAGTGAGAAAGACATGAAAACAATTACAAACACTGACCAAGTATATACAAATATAGGGACCACCTTAGGCTGCCTACAGGAGCTGGACAATATTGAACCTTAAAGAAGCCTAAACAATTAACAGGACTTTCACATAGATTAAAGGGAGGATATTCCAAGCAGAGGTTCCAACAGGGACCAAGGCTTAGAGGTGAGAAGAGCTGTTCTATCTGGGGACACTCAGACAAATACACTGAGTGGCCAGATTATTATGATCTCTGAACACATAACTATCTGGCCACTCAGTTTATATATATTAGAGGCCTGGTGCATGAATTTGTGCATGGGTGGGATCCAGCCAGCCTGGCCAGGGCGAGGGGACATGGGCGGTTGGCCAGCCTAACTGCTGGCCAAACTTCTGGTGGAGGGGACAATTTACATATTAGCCTTTTATTACATTGGATATACACTGGATATACACTAACTGGCTAGATTATATGCATTATATCGGATATACACTAACTGGCTAGATTATATGCATTCTGAGATCATAATAATCTGGCCACTCAGTGTAGATAGATGGTAAAAATGCAAAGGAGCATAGGAGTGGTAGCAATTCAGGCTGGTGAGAAAAGCAAAGATCAAATCATGAGCAGTCCTATAGGCCAAGCAAAACAATTTACTTTGAACTGTACCCACAAGCTATCAGTAAGCTACTGAAAACTTCTCAATTTGAGGAGTGATATAATCAGGTTTTATTTTGTTTTGTTTTCATTGATGTGGTGGCAATAGTGACTGGTTAGATATATGTGTGTTTGCATGTATTGGTGCCCATGCCTGTGTGTGAGAGAGTTTTAGGGTAGGGGGTAAAGAAGTAGGCCAAGAGATCAAAGATCACTCCCATGGACACTTGGGTGCTATCAATCCCTGGGATAAGGAACATTAAAGTGAGGTGCAAGTTTGGGGGAGGTGAGAAAACTGATGTTTTGTGTTTATACGTTTAGGTATTTTTTTGGTCTGTGGGAAATTTGGATAAAGATATTAAATCACCATTAAGTTGTATTTATTTGCAGCCTAGAAGAAGGATCTGAACTGAATATTAAAGCTTTGAGAATGATTAGCATGAGGTGCAGGTGACGCCAAGGGATGGACAGGATAACTCCTAGGTTTCTGATAGAGGCAGTGGGTGCCTTTGTACCAGTCTCTGCTGAACATGCCTGTCAGCCCCTTCTGAAGAAGGCTGCCACAGGAGGTTCTTTACACATAGGTCTCCCTATTTTGTACTCTGACACCCCACTACCTTAGCCAGAGCAGACCAAAAAAGAATCAGGGAGCTTGATCCAGAGGCAACTACTGATAGGTAGTCAGAGGACTTATGAGGTGGCCCCACACAAGTCCTTTCACAAAGAAATGAACAAATTTACTACCCACACGCTAGCACACTGGCCCTTAACCAGTTATCTTTATTGTCTCAATTATCCTATCCATACTTCTAAGACAACTAACTCCTCGTGAGAGAAAAAGGATTACATCTCTTACAGTGTTTTTAACAACTTCCTTTCACATATGCATTACTCTAAAAATATCACAGGACTGAGAATAAAAAAACAAAGGAAGTAATTTCATTATGCCTCCTAGCATTTTCATCAAGTCCCTTCTCCATGAACTCAAAATGATCCACACAATAACAACAACAACAAAAAAATGTTTTTTGTTTTTGTTTTTTGCCGAAACCAGTTTGGCTCAGTGGATAGAGCGTCTGCCTGTGGATTGAAAGATCCCAGTTTCGATTCTGGTCAAGGGCATGTACCTTGGTTGCTGGCACATCCCCAGTAGAGGGTGTGCAAGAGGCAGCTGATCGATGATTCTCATTGATGTTTCTAACTCTCTATCCCTCTCTCTTCCTCTCTGTAAAAAAAAAAATCAATAAAATATTTAAAAAAAATTTTTTTTAATTCTCTCTAGAACGGTAACATCACCTTTGAGGAAATGAAACAAAAAAGAGGAAGCAAATTTATTACACAGCTAGAAGCATGTTGGGCTGAAACTCAGCCTACTGGCAATAGGTCATATTCTCTGAAAATATGCAAAATTCTGGGGAGTATTAAATGCTTACCATAACCTCAGGTATGATGACCTATAAAATTGAGCAATGGCCGAAGCCGGTTTGGCTCAGTGGTAGAGCGTCGGTCTGCAGACTGAAAGGTCCTGGGTTCGATTCCGGTCAGGGGCATGTACATTGGTTGTGGGCACATCCCCAATGGGGGATGTGCAGGAGACAGCTGGTCAATGTTTCTCTCTCATTGACGTTTCTAGCTCTCTATCTCTATCCCTTACTCTCTGTAAAAAATCAATAAAACATATTTTTTTAAAAATTGAGCAATGTCTTCTGACAACAATCTCCGTTCCAAACTGTACTGTTATCACTGGACATTCCCAGAGTACTTCAGGTGCCCTAAGGAACTTGGTACCATGTGACCAAGGAGTCACCAGACATTTTTACCCCTCCCCCCATTTTATATAAATCTGCCACAATCTAAATAACTTCACCATCTAACCTTAAGATTAAGCCTGGTTTCCCTCTTTCTCTTGGACCTCCCCCCCTCCTCCCCACATTCTTAGGAGATGGGTTGGAGGAGCGAAGCTGTAATCACACTGAAATTGAACTGGAGAGCCACGGCCTTCACCAGGTTTTTTAAAGGGTGAAGGCCCCCACGTGTCATGACCCACTCATTCTACACATTTGGTCACCTAAGAACATTTCTTAGCTTGACAGCACTCAAGTTACCAAAAGCTCTGTGCAATCACTATCCTCACATTTTTTTTTCTGGAGCCTTTGCATATTCTCGCGTATTTTTGGAAGAAGAAGAAAAAAACAAACAAACAAACAAACAAACAAACAAACAAAAAACAACAGAAAGCAATAAGGGTTGGTCAAACCAACCATTACTGATATCTTTTAGAGCTGGACTGTGGCGTGTCTCCCTCGCGACAAACGTATCACGGTACCGATAGAATAAATACTATTTATTGTGACTCATCCCAAGCCTGCCTTCGTCTGATTTAAACCAAACCCTCCAATGCCAGAGGCAGGCCGCTAATAAAAGCCCGGCGGCGGCGGCGGCGACAGCGAAGAGACGACGGTGTCCAGGAAGCAGCCGGATCGGGGGCTGCGGGTCCCCATGGACATCATCCTGACACCTGTCCTCAGGGGGGATTTCATAACCCAGCTCCCCGCGGCGCCGATGAGGGCAGGGGCGGGGACCGGGGTGCTGGGGGGCGCGGGCCCGTCCCCGGGTTTGGCAGCCGGTGCCGCCGGCCTCCCTGCCCCGCGGCCTGCACCAGCCCGGCGGGCGGCGGGCTCGCGTAGAGCGCGACGCCGCGAGAGGAGCCGCGAGTGGCGGCGGACGCGATGGGGACCGCAGGGCCCGACCCCGGAGCCCGCGGCCACTCGGGCCCACCCCGCCAGCGCCGCCTCGGGTCCCCGCCCGGCTCACCCGGGCTCTTGAGGTTGTAGCGGGTCTCCATGACTAGTCGCTGCCCGGCTCCAGCCTGCTCCCTGCGGCGCGGATACTCGGCCTCCGGGACCGGGCCCTCGGATTCCGCAGACACCGCCCAGCGCCGCCACCAGCCTGCGGACGGACGCCGTGCGGAGGTGCGGGCGGGGCGGAGAGGGCGCGGCCTTCCGCTGTCCCCGCCTCCCAGTGGGCCGGGCGGGCGCCGGCGCCGCCGGACGTCCCTGAAGCGGGCGCGGGCCGGAGGGCAGCGTCCGGGATTGGCCACGGGCGTCCCCGCCCCGCCGGGTTTGTGAAGTGGCCCTGACGTGGCAGTGGCTTCGTGGCGGCCGGTCAGCGCGGCCGTCCGTCCGTCACTCTGTCGCCGCCGCCGGCCCTGGCCAAGGCCGCTCCGGGGTCTGCAAGAGCGGGCGACGCCCTCGTCTTCCAGTCGCCGCAGCTCCGGGGCGGCCGACCTTCCGCCGCCGGGCCCATCCGGGGACCCCAGGCGCCGCGCGGCCGGACCCGCCGCGCGGGGGTCGTAGGTGTCGGGCCAGCTGCAGAGGCCCCCCCCCCCCCCCCCCCCCCCCCCCGGGTACCCAGCGCTGCTTCGTTTTTAGATCCAGTGGCTGTTGGGGGTGAAAAAAGCCGTTCAGTAGGGAATTTCAGCGATGAGGGAACTGGATAGGATTTTTATAGCAGTTTATTTTCAGATAATAGGCTTAGGTGCCATTTTTCACTTTAAAAAAAAATGAATGAAAACCTGTCAAAAAATAAAATACAATAAAACTATGATAATTACATTGAGTGTGGGTGAATGCATACAAATAAGAAAGGCATCACCTCAAAGGACATCCCCTTCATGGTTTATTGTGGAAAGAGAATGGGATGGAGAAGAGGACTGGGTTCTGAAGACTAAAAAGAGGAGCAAGCAATTAAGACCAGAGGGTGGGAGGGGTTGGGATGGTGGAGAGCAGGAGAGGGGAAGGGAAGAATTCTAGGTGAGGTGAAGAGGGTTAATCAGGTTGGGCAAGTTTTATTGTCAAAGATGGAAAACTTGCTTTTTGAGGGGTGGCAGAATAGGACACCTCAAAATATGCCTCTTTGGGATAAAGGTTATTATGATTTTTTTTTTTTCTAGGTGGAAGTTTTTTAGTAGGTGCTAGAGGCCCAGTACACGAAATTCATGCACAAAGTAGGGTACCTAGGTCTGGCTGGCTCTCAGGGCCAGTCTATGGGGTGATCTTGCTGGCCTCACCTTCCACCACCACTGCTAGTTACCTCCCTCTGCAGGGCTACTGGCAGCCTGGAGCCTGCGGGCTGTGGGCAGCTCCTGTGTTGAGCGTCTACCCCCCCCCCCCCCCCGTGGTCAGTGTGCATCATAGTGATCAGGGGTCCCACCATTCAGTTGATTTGCCTATTAGGCTTTTATTATATAGTACTAGGGGCCCCCAATCCCACTGTTGGCAGCCCCACTCCCACTGTTGCCAACCCATGCACTGACAACCCCATTCCCACCTGCTGATGGCAAAGAATGATTGGGGCTGGTGCCAGCAGCAGGTGCAAGCTGTGGCTGCTGCCCTGATCACCCCCCAGGAGCAAGGGGAGGTGGAGAAGCCCTCAGGGGTGATTAGGGCTGATAGCCGTCACTCGTACCCACTGATGGCACTGAGCATTCGGGACCAGCACCAGGCACTGACAGTGGGTGTGAGCGGTGGCTCTGGCGCCTGTAGTGGGTGCAAGCACTAGGCAGCACTACAGCTTGTGGGAACAAAGAATTTTCAGTAACCACCAGAGGCTCACCCCGATGACAGTAACCAGAGCCCCACCTTGGTCTGGTGCCCCCCCCCCCCCAACCAGTCCACCATCCCGCCCCAGCTGCCACCTGCCATGTTCCACACATGCCTCCTGGTGGTCAGCACATGTCATAGCAACCAGTTATTCTGCTGTTTGGTCTATTTGCATATTAGCCTTTTATTATTATTATTACTGGGGGCCCGATGCATTAAATTTGTGCTGGGGGGGTGGGGGGTGTTCCTCAGCCCAACCTGCACCCTCTCCAATCTGGGAGCCCTCAAGGAAGTCCTACTGATAGCTTAGGCCTGCTCCCCGTGGTTCTCTGCTCTCTGCAAACCTGCCTGCTTGGCACCACTGCAGGCCCTGGTGTCTGCTCTCTGTGGGGGCCTGCTTGCCCTTAGCAGCCTGTGTCAGGGGCAAGCAGGGCTCTGCTATCTGCTCACTTGCTGTCCGGGATGTATACGCCTCGCCCCTGGCTTCCTGCGCGTGTAGGCCCAGAATGGCTGGAGGATCATCCTGGGACCCCAGCCACTCCAGGCCTATGCGCAGGCCTACAAGCTCAGAGTGGCCTGGCTCCCAAGGACGCCTGTTCCCTGGACGTGGGATGCTTGGCGCCAGCACTTGCATAAGCAGCTGCCTGGCAGAAACATCTGCCACATTGCCATGGCGATGCTGCAGATGTTCCCGCCCCCCGCCCCCATGCTTGCACACATAGGCCCGGAGTAGCCAGGGGTCGTTCCAGGACCCTGGCTGCTCCAGGCCTATATGTAAGCCTACAGGTTCAGAGTGGCCTGGGTCCTGAGGACGCCTATTCCCAGGACACAGGCTTCTTGGTGCTGGTGCAGGAGCAAGCAGCCACCCTGCCCCCAGCCACTCTGCACCTGCGTATGCAAATTAACCCACAGCTTTGTTGGGTTAATTTGCATACTCGTGATTGGCTGGTGGGTGTCTCGGAGTACGGTCAATTTGCAGACTAGCCTTTTTTCTTTCTTTCTTTCTTTTCTTTTCTTTTTTTTTTTTTTTAGGCAAGGAGGGTGGGGATAGGGTGGTCCTCAGCTTCTGATGCTGGTGGAATGATTACTGATGTGACTTGTGCTTGTCCCTCCTCTCCAGCTAACAATTTCTCTTTTGGTCCTCCTGTCCATAATAAAAGATTATTAGTGATAGCCTGAAAGTTGAGCCTACCAAACTTTTATTTACTAACCATCTGTTCTTATCCGGCAGTGACACTTTGAAGCCCCCAATTACTTCATCCCTAGCTCAGAATATCTTACATACCTAGATCTCCTCCTCCTATCTTTAAACCGTTTGTGAATTTGGGATCTGTGATTCTGTCATGTATGCAAAGTTCCAGTACATAATAAATTTGGTTATTTTTCTCTTGCTAATCAGTCTGATGTCTACTTGATTATTAAACCAGCTGAAAGAAGCTTGAGAGTAGAGGAAAATTTTCCTACCCAATACATACATCAACTCATATTCTTCACAACAGCCTTGGCAGCGTTACAGATTGTTAACAAAAATTCCAAAAGAAATTAAGAGTTTTATTCAGATGCTAGAGACCCAGTGGACAAATTTGTGGTTCCAGCCAACCCGCCTTGATTGGTGCCACCAGGCTGGGCCAACCAGGGGGAGGGGCCATGGGCAGTTGGTCAGCCAACACTGCCCCCTGGTCCAACTCCCAGTTGAACTCCCAGTACAGGGGACAATATGCATACTAGCCTTTTATTATATAGGATGATTTGTAAATCAGAGAAAATAGGCCTTAGTATGAACCAAAAATTCCTTCAGGGATTGGGGCCTGGGAGAGAAGAGGGTTTTTAAAAGGAGAGAGTTGGTAGGAAAACAAGGTTATAAACTTGTATCATTCATTTTCTGATTGGTGGGGGTAAGTGAACTTTCAATGCTAATAAACAATGGGTGCATATAATTAAGTGTTTATGAACATCCTAGTTTCAGTTCAGACTCATAGAACAAAGACTTTGGTTAAGCAGTTCCAGGGGATGTTGCTTATCAAGCACATAGAAGGTACAATTACCAAATAGTGCAGTCAGCACAGGAGGGCTGCTTGCTCTGCAGGCAGTTTCAGAATCAAAAAGGGTAAAGTTGTACCTCATAAGCAGCTTCAGAGTTCAAGCTGCAAAAATCCAATGTTGGGCCATTAGTTGTGGTATTAAAGTTATCATAATTCCTCATGAATTGTACCCATTTTATAGATGAAGACAATTGACATCTCAGAAAAATCAAGCAATTTCCTTAAATTCTCGGGTCTTTTTAACTACAAGTTTTTATCGTTCGGCATATTATTTTATCAAATCGATGAAACCTTTCTAGATTCTCATTTATGTCTTGATATGATTTGAATACTTTGAAATTTATTTTACAGAGGTCCTCCAGGTTTCATTGACTTATTTAAGGCTTATTTATCTAGAAAGTAGAAGAATCCTGACTGAAAAAGTCCAGGTCTTCCAACTCTGAAATCTGGATTGTTCTCGCTATGGGAAAAATGAATTAGGATGTCATGCAAAAACTTTTTTTTTTTTACACCACCATTTGAAAACAGGGGTATGTTTCTTAGAAACTCAGAGCTATTCTTGGACCACATACTTTAAGATATGTATTCTTCATCACTTAAAATTTTCTTATTTTTCAATTTTTTTTCTTAATCACAAAAATAATACTTGATTGTGTCCAATATTTGGAATATGAACAAAATGCAAATCTCCCATAATCCCCCTACTCAGAAATGGCCATGAAAGTCTATTTATCTTAAGCCTTTATTTATAAAGCACAGGTATTTGAACAGTTAAAATTCCATTGCATATACTTTTAAAAAAATATATTTTATTGATTTTTTACAGAGAGGAAGGGAGAGGGATAGAGAATTAGAAACATTGATGAGAGAGAAACATCAATCAGCTGCCTCCTGCACACCTCCTTCTAGGTACGTGCCTACAACCATGGTACATGCCCTTGACCGGAATCGAACCCGGGACCCTTCAGTCCACAGGCTGACGCTCTATCCACTGAGCCAAACCAGTCAGGGCGCATATACTTTTTTATACTAAAAATATCTGCCATTAGCTAACTGGTGTAAACCAAGAAAGAGGCTGAAACTAAAAGAAAACAAAGAAAGGCAGGGCTTATCAAGGCTCCTTCTCAATCTGGCCCTCTTAATGTAAGTGAAGGATTCTGGCAAGGTTAAATGGGATTGGTTGAGTTTAACACACAAACCAT